GTGACTGCAGTGGCAGGTGGGCTGTGCTCGCTTTGGCTGAGTGTGATTCAGCTCTGAGGTGTTAAACAGAGGCACCATTACTGCATTTACTGCTGCTTGCCTTCTGTGTTCTGCATGCTCTGGGCACTGGTTTTCTTTCCCTACATAACTTTTTCCTTCACCCTTCCTTTATTTAATTTTTTTTTTTTTCTAATTTGGGCTTTGTTTTTCACATGTACCAAACACAAATCCTGGTTATCAGCTGCGTATCACCTGCTTCCTTTCTGCAGCCAAGACATGGCAGGGTTGGGGTTTTCCCTTCCAAAAATAGCATGAGCGGGCTTAGTGTGGACTTTGTGATATTCCCTGTTTGGTATGTTTGTGATATCTCTGTTTTTTGGGAAGATCAGACTGTGCATAAATAGAGCTGCTGTTGTGGGATTTCTCCTGTGCTCCGATAAACAAAATCTTGTCTGTTCTTTGTCAGTCACCAGAAGAATTTCAGGTACCTGATGTGCTGGTGGGAAAAAAAACACACACCTTGTCTTGCTTGCTTGCTTTACAAAGAGGGGAAAAGGTGTTTTAAACACGATTTTATTCACGGGCCATTTTACCCTTCATGTCCTGCTTCCAGAGGGAACAATCCAGGGATGAAGAGAATCCAAGTTTGGGAGGGAGGATCATGGGGCAGTTACTGCTGTTGGTTCCCTTTTTCCTGGGGGTGGCTTTGGTTTTGACACATGTGGAAAGTGGGAACATCCTCACACTGAAGGAAATGCTGATACATTTCCAGGAAGAGCCCTGGGCCAACAGCACCAGGAATGACACTGGGAAGGCCCTGTGAGTCAGCCTGGGGGGTGGCAGGGGAAGCACAAGGGGTTGTCAGCACCCTCCTGGTGATAACCCCCCTCTGTCTCAAGTTGAAAGTCCCAGTTTCATTTTATCTCTAAAAAAAAAAATACCCTTGGGAAGATCTTTGTTTTGTGGCTGCAAAGATAAATCCCTGTGGGTTTGGGCCACAACTCTTGGAGTGGGAGCAGTGGAAAAGTTTCCCTGGCAGAGGCTGCAGCAGAGATTTGGAGGATCTGCCTCTTCTTGGTGCATTTATTCCCAGGGTTCCCAGTCATTAATTTTTAAAGCAGCACTGATTAAAAATTTATTGCAGGTCTGTGTTTCAGTCTCCCCGTAAATCCCACTTGGTCTGTAGGCCGTTGTGTTGGCCAGAGATCTTCCAGCCTCTGAGTCTACAGTGGCCTAAGCCCAGTTGGAACTTTCCCATGCAATTTTTGGGCTAATTTATATCAATGCAGATATTAAAGAAAATACAGGTAATAAAGACAGCTGTTTAAAACCACAGATGCAAGGGGTGAAGCTGTTGGTGAGCAACTGCGAGGTTTTGAGAGCGGATGTGCCCGTGTACAAGAAAGAAGGGGCTTTCTGTGGGGTTTGACCTAATTTACTTGCGAAATGGTAGGAGGAGAGGTGAGATCTTGGGGCAGGGAATTGCCTCAGTCATGGCAGGGGTTCTCTGTCCTCAGCTAAGGAGATGGAGGCAGTGATTTGACAGGAGGTTGAATGTCTCTTCTGCTGGGTTGGATTGGGGCTTCCAGTGTTTGTCTGGGGATCAGTTTCCCAAAGACGCCCCAAAAATGTGGTGTGAGGTACATCAGTTCTCCGAAAGGACCAGATGGGGTGATTTTTTTGTGTTGTGTAATGGACTGAGAGAAATTTTAAATCCCTCGTGATGCAAACTTGTTGTTTTTCCTCCCTCATGTCATGAGTCTTGATATGGAGCCAAAGAGAACTAACACAAACCCCCTAAATCCTGGAGGGTTCCAGGATACTGAGTCTGAAATTTCTAAGCTCCAAAAGTGTCTCCATTTTGTCCGTGGGGGACAAAAATATGTATTTCTTTGTTTGTTTCCCTGTCAGCCCCTTGGTTTCCATGCAGAGTTGCTCAACACCCCACAGAAAGTGTTCATCTGTCTCTGGTGATTCATGTTCATCCAGACACTCCTTCCAGTCGTGATTTCCTGAAACCCTGCCAAGTCATGGCTACTGATTACAATTTTGTCATGCCTGTCACTTTTATCTTTATACACCACTTAAATGTCAGGTTTCGTGCATTTTATTGCCTTCCCGTTCTATGTACTATTGTGTTGACTTAAGATATCTTCTTTCCTTGGATGTCCCTAGTTCACCTGTGTCTCTAAAGGAATTTTTTCCATGCCTTAATACGCTCTTGGAGCATCCAGAGAGTTCCCAGCTGCTCACAGGACACAAACCAACACATAGTTGGGCAGGAATGAATTCCAGGCAGTTGGTTGATCCGTTTCCTTTCTAAAACTTTGTAGGTGTTATATAGTCCTAAATATTTTATAGAATCATGGAATGGTTTGGGTTGAAAGGGACCTTGAAGATCATCCAGTTCCACTCCTTGCCATGGGCATGGACACCTTCCACTAGCCCAGGTTGCTCCAGCTGTGGCCTTGGACACTCCCAGGGATGGGGCAGCCACAGCTTCTCTGGGCAACCTGTGCCAGGGCATCACCACCCTCACAGGGAACAATTTCCCCCTGATATTCCACCTAATTCTGCCTTCAGGCAGCTTTTAAATGCTGTAGAAATGGTAAAAAACTCATCAGAAGTGTGTAAATGAAGTTTAAAAGAGAAGAAATACACCACAGCAGCAGCAACCTAAGTTGCCTTACTTTTGGAATCATGGTTGTAGGGTTGTGTTTTGCTTCCTGAAGGTTCAGGCTGAAAGTTTTGCTTCCTTAAATAAAACATGGTGGGTTTTTAATGATTTTAATGTGTTATATACTGAATTATTCAGTAGAATTAAAAGGTTACAGAAGCATAATGAAAGTGAGAGAGTCACATACATAAAACACTGTTAACAGAAGGGTGAGACTCAGAGTTTATACCAAGATATAACAAAGATATATTTTTTTTAATCTCCATTCTGATTATTTGTTGAACATGTAATTATTCCTACTTGTTTTTATATATAAATGAATAAAATCTGTATGAGAGGTGGCATTCTTGGGTGATTTCTCTCTGGTTGAGAAGCAGCTGATGCACATAAGGGCACTTCAGCAAACCTTTAATAGGCTTCAAATTCAGCTTAAAACCTTTATACCTGTTCAACTTTCTCTTAGAACAGGTAAATTCTTTGCTTAACCAATCATTCGAAAAAAAATATCCTTGATTTTTCTCAGCAGGAGATGATTCAGTTCTTAAGAAAAATGGGGGGGGGGGAGGGGA